GGGGGAATGGAGACTGACCGCTAATGGGTATGAAATTTTTTTTGGAGGGGGATAACGAAATGTTTCGGAATTAGATAGTGGTGATGGTTGTACATTTTGTGAATATATTAAAAACCACTGAATTTTATTAATATTATGGTATGTGAATTCTATCGATTAAAATTTTTTTTAATATTTAAAAACAAAATCAGCATTATGACCTACATACCTGACTGAAATGGATCTGTCTTCTCCGTTAAGCAGACTGGCAGCCTGCGTTTTACCAAAACGAGCTTCTGTACTTGCCAGCTGTGAAAGGTTTAATTGGAGGTTGTGTATGTCCTCGAATGTCTGACACTTTTTATTTGGCAGTTTTCCATTCCCTTCAGTTGTCTAAACTGGCTTTTTGCCATCTTCTCATTCAAATAGAGCTCTAAAAATGTATGATTTAGGTCACCAGTAAAGAAAATATTGGGTAGACAGACACTTGTGTAAGGGCTTCTGCAATTAAAATTGGTTGGAATCCATAAATATGAGCTGATCCACTCAGCATGCTCTGCAAGGCCTCTCAAATTAACTAATGTATTCTTGACATAAGAATTATTAAACCAGTAGAGTCATTGTTGACATTAATTACATGAAACCACTTTCAATTCTTTGTTTATGTAGGTGGCAATTTTATGTCAATTCCTCAGAGAGATTGACTACAAAACAGCCTTTAAATCACTGCAGGAACAAAACAGGTATGAATGTTTTTTTAAATAAAATGAAGTTGAAATTTTTCTGCTTAAGGAAGAGGAAGAGGAAGTAACTGAACTCTGTTTTTCAGTCATGATGCTATGGACTCCTACTATGACTACATATGGGATGTGACCATTTTGGAATACTTGACTTGTATCCTTTCATCAACATACGTGATATTAGAACTGTTCATTTCTGCAAGTTAAACAAGTGTTTAATATTGTGTATTTTCTAAGTAAAAGATGAACAGGGTGAGATTCTATCATGTATTTAATATTATCGGATTATTCTTAACTGATACGTTTAGATCTTCATCATAAAAGAGGAGAAACGGATAAAAGACAAATTGCGGTAAGTTATTTTATGTCTGTATTCTTCAGTGATATGCTTAATTTCCCTAATACTAAGCCATTTTCTGTCTCACACAGCGCCAGAGTCTGTGTGGGGTCTGCAAGGCTGCACGTGACTTTCCCCCTTGCTGACTTCTGCTCCACCAGCACCCCTCCTGCTCTCTGAATGTGCCAGGAACATCCACCCAAGGGCCTTTAACATTTTCTTTCAGAGACATTCTTTTAACTTCGCTCATGTCTATCCTCAGATGTCACCTTCTTAGTGATCATCCTTTCCTGACCATCTTATAAAATAGCAATGTCTCTCCCTCCTTTCCCTCCAGTCCCCTTATTCTCATTTCCCGTTTAAAAGTTTTTTCTGTAGAGTTTACCTACATCTGACATACTGTATATTGACTTATTTGTTGGCTGTTTCTCCATAAGGGTAGGGATTGGTTTTGTCATAGCTGATACTTAGATGGTGCCTGTCACTGTAATAGTTGCTCAGTCATTACTGAGTAGATGAATTATTTAAATTTAACTTACAAGCCAAAACGCTACAAATTTATGGCCAGTTTAGGTAGCCTGACATTTTCTGCGTCAATATCGCTGTAGGTAATTTCTCTTTGCTCTTTTACACATTAATAAAAGTGCTGTTTATTAAATGTCTTTTAAAACTTTGTACTTGCACTAAATTGTATGTCCTTAGTTTAGAGGAAACAGTGATAACAGCATCCTTAAAAAAAAAACACAGAAACAGAAGAAAGGAAAAAGAACATGAAGCCAGTTCCACTTGATCGGAGGCTACTCATTGTCCCATTTCCAACTTAGCCAGGGCTGGAAGGCAGTACTGAAAATTTCCCAGTTCCCTGGTGGGATTTCCAGATCATCTCTATTTGTATCATTTTTAAAGTCCCTTTTCCTTAGACGCTTACACCTGCCTCCTTACCAGCTCATTTAACCAACCTTCTGGTTGTTCCTCTATACGCATCAAAAGATGCCCTTATCTAACTACCTGACACCCCTAGCTTTCAAGCTCCATCGTCACCTTTACTCTTCACCAGCCACCCGTACCCATTGGCAGGCCTTTTTGTAGAATTGCTCTACATAAGATCTCTCTGCCAATAATGTATCCCTTTCTTTCTTCCTGGCTCCCGTGTTCCTCGTGATCAGTGAGATGTTCGAGTTCATGACCAGTTTTCTGCTAGTCTGTTAGCCCTTTCCCGACTTCCCTTCCTTCCCGACTGACCTTGAGTGCAGCAGATACTGGTCTGTGTGCCCTCAGAGATACTGATTCACTTGGTCTGAGATGAGGCCCTGGGATCCAGTTTTTTAAGTTTCCCAGGGAGTTCTGATAACAAACCAGGTTTGGGAACCCTGCTATCTATGGTCGATTGTCAGAACTACTCTGATCAATATCTTCAGCATCTTTGCTTTTTTGACCTTCACCTCACCTGTAAAAGTTCCAACCCTAAATCTGTTCCAAAATTTATGCTTCTTACCCCTAAGGCACTGAGTCCTGTTGGAAAAAGTTCTCCAACTGTGTAAATTTGTGCCACTACCAAACCATGGCCTGCAACCTTAGCTGGCCCCTCATTCCTTTTGTTTTACTTGCCAGTAGTCAGTGGTCTCCATTCTTTTCAGGAATTATTTTAGACTTTTGCCCTACTAAGTCCCTGTCCCCTCTCTCCCTTTTCCATTTTCAGTAACTTCCTTGCCTGTGTTTGGAATAGACCAGAAAAAAAGACTGACCATCTCTGTCCTTGTGCAAGTTACAGTCTTGGGGATTGTGGCCCTGGGAGTCCCTGCTTTGTACCTTTAACGTGCCTACAGCTGTGCTCCTTGTCGAGGCCACTTAGTCAGGAAGAGCTCAGGCTGCTCCTTGACGGAGGCAGGGTTTTATGCTTTTGCTTCTGTCATATCAGTGATTCCATCCCTTTTAATTAGTTGTCTCGTCTCCTTTCCCATAGCCTATAAACTACGCTATTCATCCTTCATGGAAAACTTCTCTTGACTGTGCCCCCACCTCCTGCTCACCCCTCCTCTGCCAAGTTTCTTGAAGCTCTTCGACCCAGTGCAGTTTGACCTCTGCTGTCCCTACTCACTAACTGCTCTCAAGGGTCACCAAATGCCAAAGCCAGTGGATCCTTTCCAGCCTTGATCCTACTGTTTATATCTCCTCCTTTCTTGAAATTCGTTATTCCTTTGACTTCTGTGGTGTCGTTTTCACTCGGCTCTTTCCTCTGACTCTTCTGCCTTTTCTTCTTCATGGCTATTTCCCTCTGTCTACCCCTTAAACTTGCTTTTCCCAAGAATTTGGTCCTTGGGTGCTTTCTGATTGCCCTGCATTCTCCCTGGGTAACCTCAGCCACTCCTGGTTTTGAGTGCTGCCCACCTAGGGTGTGTCACTTCTCTCAAGTGTCTGGCCCCTTTTCCACGTTCTGACTTATACTTTGGACTTTTATAGCCACTTGTGTTCAGAATATTTTGTTTGAAAAACCCTTTAGTTATACCCCACCGCCAGGTTTTCCCACATGCATTCTTACATATTGAAATGGCATCACCCAGCAATTCCTTCCACCCCCAAACTAAGTGATGATCATTTCAGAATAGGATTAGCTCCCTTCAGGCTACCTATCTTAATAGTCTTTATTGTTTAAAGAAGTTTTTTTTTTAATCTAAAGGTAATTCTAAGGTCCTAAAACATGCTCTCGTAGAATACTCCATGGTGGAATACTACTGTAGATTCTTATTAGGCTGAGGTATTTCTTTTTACTCGTGAAGGAGATGGGCCGCTGTGTAGTATAGTGCTGAGCAGCTAGCTGCTTTTGCACATTAAAAAACTGAAGTCCTGAAACATGGATTTTGATTTTTCAAGTTACTTTGTAGGAGCCTTAACTGTAATAATGTGTGAGAGTACATGTAGAGTTTATTTCCTGGTACTTTTAGTCAAATAAACAACATGAATTTACTTAGTGTTACTCAAAATAATTCCATAAATTGTGGTTCAGCAACTGAGCTTTGCTTTGAACGGCTCCGGTCCGTTTTTGTTGATTTCTTCCACACCTCTTAGCATTTACAGTTAGAGGTTCAGTTTATCATTGTTAGCATGCAGGTCGTTTTATTTTATGTATACTAGCAAGACTTCATTTTTGACCAGACCTCTGATAACATCACTTTTCTCTTCTGGAAGATCAAAGCCATCGGCCAGACAGAATTGAACGCAAGCAACCCAGAAGAAGTGTTACAGCTGGCAGCACAGAGAAGGAAAAAAAAGTTTCTCCAAGCAATGGCAAAACTTTACTTTTAAGCAGTTAGTTAAAATTTAACTTTTATTTTTTAAACAATGGGCTAAAAATAAACAGTATTAAAAGATTAAGTTTATATAATACATATATACATATTTAGTGGTGTTTTCTTTTCAGATAAAATACTGAAACATTAGTTTAAAAACAAAAACTATACAGAAGATTTCATACCAAAACAATAGCTTAAATTTATAATTTCTTCAAAGGAAGAGATTCACATGTCCAGTAACAAACTACTGATCTAGTATAATTTTTCTAATTAAATCCACTTTTGAGGCTGAAATTTCATTTTTAAAAAACTAAAACATGTAGCAGTAGCTAACTATATACAGCAAGTTTCTAGGTCAAGGTTTTTTTTCCTTTTTTAATAAATAGATTTCTAGGAGTCAGTATACATTTACTACTTTCCTGCCTTAAGAAAATAGAAGTTTAGGTCAAGTGTTAAGCTTCATCACTTTGACACTGTCCTTAACTCATAATATAGGAATTTTAAAAGGACCTTAACAGTTTTGCAAACATAAATAAAGCCTTGGTCACACTAAATTAAGATAACCCTAAGGATTTTTTTTAGAGTAATAAAGTGACTTTCTCATATAAATAGTTTGAAAGGGTACTTAAGTTTTTCACCCAAATTGTGATGTACAGAAAAGTTATTATAAAGCAACCTTTATGTCAAAGCCCCACGTAGGAGCCACAGCATTTACCTTGTTTATAATTTCTTTGGTACTCCCACTGTTCAGAGCACAGTTTAAAACACCATGTTCGTCTAAGCCTTACTGGTTAAACATGTTATGGCAAGGCAAAGAAACTAGTCAGGCAGATTAAAGTTCACCATTTTAAAAAATTCAAGTTTCATAATAGCTTGCTACAGCACCTATAGGTAAATTAGTCACCTTATTACAAAACTAAACCTTTGTAAACAAGTTTAAATTTTATTTTCAAGAACCAAATTGCACTATCAAGAGTTTATAAATTTTGAGAATCTAAAAACTAGATTCAAAGTACTGTATCACTTAATGTACCCTTTAAGGTAGCACTTAGCTAGTCGAAAACTCCAATGATAAAATTCCTAGTTTATTAAGATAAACATAGTAAAGTAACACTGGGTCAAAAAAATGGTTACGGCGTGGATCACGGCTGGCTTCTGTCCAGTCAACGTTGGGAATGAAGTCGCCCTTGTAAACAAGTCCTGCTGTCTCTTTAAACAGCTGACATAAGAATTAAGTGAATTTCTTCCTTGGTGCCAGTTTTAAGTGGTTTTAAAATCAAAGAATGGCAGTGACACTTCTGAATTGGCTAGGACAGTCACGGCACTGTTTTCCTGTAAAACTTAAGTAGTTCAGGTCTATGAAATTCTGTACATTACTTCATCAGTTCCCACTTGTGTGCTTATTACTCGCTCCTTTAGTGTTTTCCTGGTGGCTTTTCAGTGCTCTTCGGTGGTGTCATAATGCCTCCATTGCACACTGGTGACAACTGTCCCCCCTTTCTGAAGGTGTTCACATAATTTACTTCATCCTGTAGTGTGAAAAAATTATGGAGATTAACAGCTAAGATAAAGCACTGATGTGGTAAAACAGAGTCCATCCAGACTTGTGTGTGCTAGTTTGAAACAACGGAGGCCTGATGTGACGGTCTCGTTCTGCCTTTACAACAGTGACTAAGTCGTGTTCTAGAGGTTCAACAACATGGACTGCCTGCGACTCGTATTTTAAAGACTCTCAGCGTGGGCTACTGAGATTGTTCTCGGGACACTTCACAGATCTTGCTTTGACTTCAAAGTTATTTTATTAGCTTTTCTGCATTTTGAAATCAGTATGCTCATTGGAACTTTCTGTCCCCTTACCATCTTGTATAACTGCCTGAAATATTATTCCATAATATCCTTACTGTCAGCTTCAGTGACTTACCAAATAGAAAGACAAAAAAGTTCTACAAAAAAACATACCAGCATAGTCAGGTAATTTGTGTGTGTCTGTATATTGTGTCTGTCTTCCATAGAAATCTTCTTAAAAATCTTTAGCTTCACTGGGCTAGTACTTTTTACTACGCTGACAAAAGGCACCATCCATTCTACACATTCAGAAATGCTGTCCCACTCCAAACCTAGAGAAAGAAAAGATAGAAAAATGTGACGGTTATGTCAGAAACTAACATAATGCCTAATGTATTTGCTCTTACTTCAAAATTCAAAGTTAATTTAAAATTCATGTAAAAAGGAAACCAAAACAAACATCAACAAAAATCAACAAATTTAGCAAGTCAAAACAGATGATCACTCTCAAACTATGTTTATAATGTGACTATTTTGAGAGAGAAGAAGACTTAGAGCTTCTTAGCCAGTACCTGATACACAGGAAATTGAAATTGTCAAAACCCAAGGAATTCTTAAAGCAGAGTTATAGTCATGTTGACCAACTTCAAGTGGGTTTAAATTCCACTTGACCTTATTTTTTGTTTGTGGATATACGCTGAAGATAAGACAGTACTTCTAGCAGAAGGGAAGTAATCACTAAGCTGCTAAATTTTTAACTCTAAAATTTTAAATTCTTGTTTAGCAGGATGCTAAGTTCATAAATAGTCCCTTTAAAAGTTGTGAACAGGTAAGAAGATAATAGAGTGTCTTACCTGAGGCTTTCTTAACCACTTCAATAGAGGTAAAATGGCACAAGGCAGCAGCAGCCAGTATTCTGTACTGGAACTCTAATGAATCGATGGCTAGAATACACAGATCTAAAAGCTAACAGGGGAAAGTGTCAGTACCTAGGAGAAGGATGAGTACTACGTGTTGCTAGTGAACATCAATTAATATTTTAGAGTGCTTAAGATGTGGACTATATGGCAAGGACTGCTAGAACTACAGGGATCCAGAGAGAAATAAGCCACCACCCTGACGGAAGTCGAGTCTTGGGACTGTAGGTGAGGAAGAAGAGAAGAGGACTGTTAGCATGTAGTGTGATGTGTACTATTAGCAGGGGAACCTGATCCAGAATCTGGAAGTCAGGGAAGACTTCTGCTTAAATGAGTCTTAAAAGACAAGGTACCCAGGAATACTGGGGGGTGTAGAGTATGTTCTGGTTATAAGAAACAATTTGCAAAGATAAATGAGAAGGTATCCCTTGGAACTCAAGTAGTTCAGAACACAAAGTAAAAAAGTACAAAATAAGGAATACCTTTCCTTCATTCTTTATTTAAAAAAAAAGGCATGGCCTAGGTTAGATCATAAAGGGTCTTTAAGAAGTCAGAACTTTATAGTTCTGATTATTGAAATTACTGGAAGATTTTAAATCAGGAAAGTGACATTTTAAGAACAATCCCTTTGGCTACAGTGCAGCAGAAACACAAGAAGGGAACATGTTCTAAACAGATTAGTCAAGAGGCAGTATGATCCATGCAGTAAGAGAGCTGGTCAACGAGCAATGGAATCAGGTAAAGGGGTTAGACTTCAGGGACACCTGTCAGTGGAGTAAACCTTCAATTAGTTTTGTCCCCATTGGTTCAGAAGATAGAAGCACAAGTGGAGTCAGAAAGGAATTATTACTATTACATAGCCCTAGAAACTTTCTACACTGTTTATCATCTCGGCAAAGGTTTGCCCTATCAAAAGGGTAAGCTGTCTATGATGATCTGGGATATCAGGAAATCTGATGGAAAAAATCAGTAAGCCTTCATTAGAAAGTTCTACAAAAATGAACCAATTCCAATATATTTACTGGTTATCCAGTATATTTACTGGTTATCCAGTGTTCATAATGTGTTTACTAGATGTTTTTCAAAACAAGTTGAATTTCAATCTATGCGACTTAAAACCCACCCAGAGCACCACAAGTTCTTCAGTTCCACAGGTGAGGTTTTCACCTCCCACACGGAATGGAGATGCTCTTCACCTACATGTGGTGCTTAGAGCAGCCGTAAGAGCCTACTTAGAAGAAGCAGGCAGGAGAGAATGGCACCTTCCTCCATTAACTATTAGTTACTTTCTTAGAATATTTGTTACGTACTGGCCTTGAAAGGTTTAATTTGAACTTAGTTTTAAAAACATGTTATAACTGAAGTAATTTAAAGTTTAATATATAAAATAGATTCCCTGTGTATTCAAATACAAGAGAGTCAGATAATCATACAGAATTTCATTCCACTATAAAGCCTAGAACAGCTGGCTGAAAAATACCTTTCCCCATTTTGTATCAAAAAGAGATACTTAGCTTTCTGTTTTGTATTCCTAAAGGATGAGAAGCAAGCAAGCAATGTAAATGCTGGGGACAGAGTTTTATGTATCAGAAGTTTCGTTCTACTCGAGGAGTGAATTCTTTTCAGTGTGCTGTCATTTTGTAGTACAGCTTACTTAACACTATAAATACACTAAACAAAGCCTGTAATTAATAACATTAGCATATACTCAATAAAAATATCAATACCTGAGCTATCTGAATGAACTTTTCCTGAGAATACTGAGGTAGAAGAACTTTAGGAGCATCTTTAAGAGCATCAACTTGGAGGAAGAGGTTTAGCCAGGAGATGACTGTTACAGGACCGAGTTCCCATTTTAAAGCCTGTTAATGAAATCAAGATGTGTGTTAATAAATGTAGGTATATATATATATATATATACATACACACCATATTCTATAGCTTCTTTCTTAGTCACTTAAGAGACTTTCTGCTTTAAGCTTATTTCTTCCTATTTTAATAAAAATATTTATAGGTATCTCACAATCTAAAGCTGCTTGTGTTTTAATCTATTATTGATACAGACCCCTTTATTATCTAGTTGTCTTTACTTACAAAGTTCACTGGACCTATTATTCATTCCTACTTTTCTAATTTCTTGCAGGCCCTAGTCTTCCAAATCTGTTCTCTACTTTTTTGAAACTGTCCTTTGAATTTTACTGAATGATTCCACAGCTAATCCCATTCAGATCCTCTGTGAACTGATTCTGTACATTTTCTTACTTTCCGTGATCTCTAACGGCTTCTGCTCAATGTAAAAGTTAAAGAAAAGGACAAATCCTAATTTATGATACCATTTCCTCCATGAAGCCCTGGGACTTTTCCATTTATAGGAAGTCTGAAATAATCAGGAGAGAACAGAGAGTCTTAATGCCTATAGGACCACCCGGAGGATTCCATCTTCCTTTTACACATCCTTCCTCTTTACACTATACTTCAAGCCTGGATCTGGATAACTTTATTACACTAATATCAGCATGCCAACAAGATCCCATTCTACAGAGCTATCAATCTGAATGTTTATAGTTTGTAAACAATTCATAACAAAATTTTAATTTATATTAAATATATTAATTTATAGAAAACTTGTAAGTGAAAGTCATATTGATTGTGTTTTCTTGTATGTCCTATTTATAAAACCATGATGTCCGAATTTCATAACATACTTTCTGGTAGCTAACATTCACCCTGTAATCTCTACTTCAAAGTCCAATTAAACACCTTTATGCTTCTCTCCTCCACTCTTCTATTAATAGCCCATTTGATGCATATAGAAAAAAAAAGGCAATGAAATAATTCTCATTCTCTGTCTACTGGAAGAAGTGGAAAAACAGAATTAAGAGTTGAGAATCATTGTTGGGATTTATTTATATACACATGCTTTGCTAATTACCTATATATTTAGAAAATATCCTTAAACACTTTTAAATTAAGAAATAATATTCTCAACATAGGGAACATGAAAGATACAGAAAAATAGAGCTTACAGGTTAAGCAAATTCCCCTCCCATCTTAGAAGTGGATCCTAAAATTAAAACCTCAGTTTTGACTACTTACATTGTAGTCTTTGAGATTTAATAATAACTAAGTTACTAAAGTGCAACTAGAAATAATGAAGATATAATTATTATTACCTTTAAAATAATGAGTTCCATCCTTAAGATATCCTCTTCACTGCAAGCTCCATCAGTGACATAAGCAAACTCTTGGAGCTTAGGAGCATAGATTTCCTTTAAAATGGATTTTTAAAATTAATATCAAGCACAGTTGAGAGTGAGATTAAAGCAAAGGAATTCTATACAAACCACATACAGACTTCATTTTAAAAGGACAGCTCAAATGATTATAAATCTTAGTAAAATAATTCTGTGGTAGCCAAGGAAGGCAACATTACATTAAAAGATATTTTTCATTTCTAGGTATCTAAATTAGCCCACTATATTGATTGAAACTTATTTTCATAGATCTTGAATCTTTGTTAATAAACAATTAAGAGTATTTTAATCAGTCATTTCAGTGACTGATTAAAACAAAAAGCCAAATTTGTTTTAGGATTGCCTAATTTATCAATCAGACCAAAACAAGGCACTCAACAAATAAGGTCTAGAAACTGAAAACACTTCCTTTACCCTAGTACAAAAGCATGGTAATCAAAAAATAATTTGTGCAGTTTGTCTGATGACACGTCTGTCTCAGCAGTTCACAGCGGAACAGCTAGAATGATGAGAGGAGAAGGAGAGAAGTCGGCCATAGATGAGAACAGGCTAACGGTCAAGGTTTCAGTCTAGAAAGATATCTGAAATACACTGTGATTTCAGGTAAGGATACACTGAATACAAACACTCATCAGATGTGTCAGAACTTGGGGACAATCCTTATATGTGGAAGAGAAGAAAAATGCACTTAAGGAAATTAGTGCATGATTCATATAACCTCTCCTACCCTCAAAATGATACAGGCTTCAAAAATTTCAGATGAAGGTACTAATTCAGTATGGGCTGAATCTAAGAAAAGTAGCCTGAGATCGTGTGAAGGAAAATCTAAGGCAGGAGTCTCCTTCTACCCTGGCATCACCATCAGAAAGGCTGGATACAGACCGTTATTCCAACCCAGCGTAGGAGCATTTACTGCATTTGAGTGGTTGCTTAGGTTTCAGAGACCATTCTATTGAATCCACGTGTCATAATTACGAGATTAGAGACCGCATCCATTATTTTGTTTGTCACAATGAGCCATGGAACATGTCACCTAGATACCAATTCCAGAATCCAACCAGAGACTTACAATAGGCTCAGATACTGCGAAGGGAACCATGATATTTAGACTTCCATCCAAATCATAATGTTCAGAAAATGTACTGAAAAAAACCTCATCTTTCCTAAGGAGCAGCATATCAAAAGTGATACACAGTATTCTCTGGGGTTAAAAAAAGTTTGGGGTAAATATGGATAAACTTTGAGAACTTACCTCAAGTTTGGAAGCAATGAATAATGAGGTAATTCCAATGAGCTGAAGCATATTTTTATTTATATCCTTTTGGGTCAACATGAATCTATCAAAAAAGTCTTGAGCAAGATAAAACGTTTCCCTATGAAGTGTGTATACTTCACATACCTAGAGAAGAATCCAAACATTTAAATATTATTCCAAGAATTTCACCATATTAGAAAGTTCTCTCTTAGCATATCTGACTTTAGAACACTTTTAAGCCCAACTTTGCTTTCTAGGATATCAAAACTAAGGTGAGGGAAAAACCTAACATATGCTAATAGGATAAATGTATCACTGTCCTCGTTTACTCTTACTAGTTTTATAGTTTTTTTCACATGGACTTAATGTGTTTATTCCCAGATACATTTACTGACTATGGATGAAAACTTTTTTTTCCTATTTCCTGATTTTTATTGATGATAAATGGGTAAGTTTTCATGTTTATTAATAGTACCAACAGATTCTCTTCATCATTCTCGAGATACATTTAACTACAAAATGACAACTCTGCTCCTTTCAATGTTTTTATCTCATTTATTTTTCATGTTTTACTGCTCCAGCTAAGAATTATAGAAAAAATTGAATGAATAATATTGGTGATAGACAAAAATTTTCTTATCCCTTGTTTCTGACTGCAGTGAGAATTCCTCTAGTGTTTCATGGTTGTTATTCATAATAAGTGGAATCTCTCATTTCC